AACAACAACAGTAGATTTTACAAACTTTCTTACGACGTAAATAGGAAGAAATTCTGTCTGTTGTAAGTAGCAACACCTTATTTTATGAACCTACACGGCCTTATATAAAAATAGTAAAGCTGCGTTAATTTTATCTAGTCGTGTTTTTCCACTAATGGCCGCGATAACACGGTGGCAACATGAATATGGACGTGGCCTCTAACTGTTCTGAAGTTTAATATTGCTTTTTTATTAAGAAATTCATCAGTCTCTTTTTATATTTTAATATGAAAATAAAAACACGAATCTGAAAATGAAATCACAAATCTGAAAATGAAATGTTACTTGTCTATCGTTTTCCTCCCAGATGTCGACTCATATGACTCATCACTTGACACTCATATATATATTTGACGTCTTTTTGGCAGAAAGTACGTAATATTTGACCTCTCCGGTCTTCCACTCTTAGTGCGAAGATATCCGGCGTGAGTTTGGCAAATCAAAATACTATCTATAGTTAATACTGCCGTATCTTCGGCGTAGAATTTACATGGAATGCACCCTGGAATTGAATTTAAAAAAAATTTAATTCTATACCCATGACTTGAACTCTACAAATGGCACACGTATCAGACACAACATCCCAAGACCACATTGCCACTGCATTCCATTTCTTCAGTGTGAACAACTTTTCCTCTTTTGATTTTTCATCACAACCACCATCTTGTACATTCTTGTCGAAACAATTTTCTCGATTGTCAGTCGCCATTTTGCTTTCTTTCACTGCGCTAGACAATTGTCTCACTAAACAATATTACCGCTGACAAAAACGAAACAACAACTTAAGAAAAATAGGCTCATCGTGCGTACATGCAGTGCTTCCACAACCGCTTGTTCAAAAATCCTTTTACAATCTCCAAAATTCTTCAAAATTCCAAGAAAATGCAGGCAAATTTGTAGCTTGCTCACAGACGTTGTAGTTCTTACGCCAAGCGACGAAATACTACCGTCTGTGAGCAGGCTAGCAAATTTGAGGCAAATGTATCATATATGAAAAATCGAGCATCATTACATTGCCTGAAAATTTGAGCAAGTTTCAAGAGTTCCCTCCATGAAAGTATCTGCTCCACATATATGTTTATGTTCACCAGGGGCATAAGGTGCTTGATAATGGTGGAGTGGTTGTATGGCAGAAGGCGCTGAACGGCAAATTTTGAAATTTATAGTCCCAAGATCGCCGGAAATGACATTTTCAGATTCTTCGGTACCTCTTTTGTTAGACTCCTACGGCTACACTATTTATAAGTTGATTTTTACTGGTTTAAGACTTGTAACTGGTATAAGTTACAGAAATCCTTGCAATTTCCTTTAATTTGTGTATTTTTCCTTGCCATTTCCTTGTAAATTTTATTTCCTTGTAAATTCCTTGCAAG